ATTTTATGTATATATTTTCTAAAATTTGTATATTATTATATTCTTGCACCCGTGCTATAAGAAGTCTATCTGGTCCACATGGTTAAAAAATGAGCTTTTTACCTTGAGGATGAAGAATCAATTCCCACTTAATACATTTTTCTTGATGCATCCATGTTCGGATCAATTCCCACTTAATACATTTTTCTGGGTGCACCCATGTTTGAAAAATCCTAGATTCGCCTCTGATTACCTCTAGATTTCAAGAACAAAGTATTATTAATTTTACCTCTCAACAAATGATTGGGCAAGTCTGCATCTTCAAAGCCTGGGGGTTGTTTGACATATACTTCCTTCTTTAGATTCTCATTCAAGAAAGCACTCTTGACATCCATTTGAAGCAGCTTGAACTCCATGTGGGCGGCAAAAGCTATTAAGATTCTAATGGCTTCCATTCTAGCTACATGAGCAAAGGTCTCATCATAATCAATTCCTTCTTCTTGGTTGTAATCTTGCACCACAAGCCTTGATTTATTTCTAGTAATGGTGCCATGCTCATCAAGTTTGTTTCTGAAGACCCATCTAGTTCCAATAATAGTTCTGTCAATTGGTCTGGGGACCAGGTGTCACACCTTGCTTCTTTCAAACTGATGAAGTTCCTCCTGCATTGAAGTTACCCAATCTACATCCTGTAAGGCTTCTTTGATGTTCTTTGGTTCAATGGATGATATGAATGCTGAATGAGCAACTAGATTTCTTGATTTAGATCTGGTTTGAATTCCTGAGTCAAGTGGGGAGATGAGATTCTCCAGTGGATGTGAAGATTGATGCTTCCATCCGGACTTTCTGGTAATCTCTTCTTCTTTGTCAGTATCAGAATCACCTTCATCTTCTTCAAGATTTTAAGACACTGTTTCCTGTGATGAACCTGAGGGACCAGGTCATCCTAAGTGTTCTGCATCCTTCTCTTTTGTACCCTGATCATCCTGCTGCTTGTTCATCAGCTCCTCAAACTCGTAGTCCTCATTGTTCTCATTTCTTGAACGTAATTCATCAAACTTGACGTGCATGCTTTCTTCAATACAAAGAGTTCGTTTGTTAAACACCATGTATGCCTTGCTTGTAGATGAATACCCAACAAATACACCTTCATCACTTCTGGCATCAAATTTTCCTAGATCATCCTTTTTCATTATTCAACACAAAGCATTTGCACCCAAATGGTCTAAGATGTGCAATTGAAGGTTTTTTGTTATTTAGTAGCTCATAAGGTGTTTTCTTGATGATAGATCTGATAAGACACCTGTTTGTCACATAGCATGCTGTATTAACTACTTCAGCCTAAAAATTCATTGCAAGTCCTAAATCGATCAATATAGTTCTAGCAATCTCCACCAGAGTTCTATTCTTTCTTTCAACCACTCTATTTTGCTGAGGAGTTCTTGGTGCTGAGAAGTTGTGATTGATTCCATTTTCTACACAAAACCCTTCAAGTAGAGACTTTTCAAACTCCGTACCATGATCAGATCTGATACTGGCTATCTTGCAATTTGTCTTCAATTGGATGTCTTTGGCAAATGTGATCAGTTGTCCAGTTGTCTCATCTTTCGTTCGCAGAAACATATTCCAAGTGAACTTGGAAAAATCATCAACAATGACAAGAATATATTTCTTACCTCCTCTGCTTTGGATTCTGATAGGTCCATATAAGTCCATGTGGAGCAGCTCTAGAGGTCTGGTTGTACTGACTCCCTTCTTGGCTTTGACTGATGACTTAGTTTGTTTCCCTTTAGCACATTGTTTCCCTTTAGCACATGCATTACAGACTTTATCATTTGAAAACTTCAATTTTGGCAATCCACGGACTAGGTCCCCTGTAACAAGTTTGTTCAACAAAGAAGTACTTACATGACCCAGTCGTCGATGCCACAGATCTACATCATCAGCTTGAGCACTTAGACAGGATAAATCATCTCCCTTGATACAGTCCAGATCTGCAACATACATATTTTTGACTCTAGTAGCTGACATGACAACCTTTTTGGTAGTGCAGTTTGTAACCAAACATTTGTCAGCCATGAACTTGACTTCATTTCCCTTGTCACAGATTTGTGAAATACTCAAAAGATTGTATTTCAGACCCTTTACATAGTGTACATTATTTATAGAATTATCAACAGATTTCCCTATTCTGCCAATACCAAGAATAGAACCCTTCTTTCCACCACCAAATGACACACCACCACCATGGTGTGCTTTCAAAGAGAGGAAGTTTGAAGTATCTCCAGTCATGTGCCTTGAGCATCCATTGTCCATGTACCAACACTAACTCCTTCCTCTCTTCTGTATAAGAATCACTTGTTAGATTTAGGAGCCCACTTCAAACGGAGTTCCCAATAATTATCAAAAGGCTTGATAAGAAACTTTCCTGTCCAAGGGGCAAAGTGTTCTTACTGAAACAATAACGGGGACTAGGTCCCTTGTGTTCCCTTTTATCATTGTTTCCAGGTTTGACAAATTTCACATGCTTTTCTTTTGCTTTCTCAAAGTCTCACACTTTTCTTTTAGGTGACCATTACGCCCACAGTGAGTGCACAACAGATTGTCAGATACAGACACATATTTGCTATGAGGATTATAGGGAGGTTCTATTGGTCTGTATCCCAACATTTTCTTTCCATTGAAACTCTGATTAGACAGGTTAGAGAGTATCTTAAAGGAGTCGGTCCACTTTAGAGAGTGGCTTAGCTCCTCCTTGACCCTACTCAGATCCTTTCTCAGTTGAGAATTAGTTTCAAGAGAAACAACTAGCTTAGACTCAAAAATTTTAAGCTTTTCTTCCAATTCTTCCTCAAAGAAGCTAAGCTTTCTCTTTCCACCCACTGAGGTACCAGGATCCTCCTCAGGAGTTATGTTGCTAGTTTCTAAAGTTCCTATCCTTACACTTATTTCAGAAACTTGAGACATGAGAGCTGAATTCTCATCCTCACACAAACTTAATTTTTCATTTAACATTAAGTTTCAGTGGTTCGTTCATCAACAGAATCAATAAGCAAGGCGGCAAGTTTCCTCAATTTTTCAACAGGGAAATCATCTAGATCATTCTTGAGATAAAAAAGACTTACCTCGTCTGAATCCTCTTAATCATTAGATTTTTCCATTAAGGAGAAAATGGAGTTGAAAACACTTTCATCATCTTCAATAGCCATCATTGAAACATCCTCATGACTTTCTACATCTTCTTCTGATTCACTAGAATCATTTCCCCAAACAGCAAAGGCTTTTCTCACCAACTGATCAACATGTGCCTTCCTTCGAGCATGGTCTGGGACCAGGTCCCTTTTATGAGGTCTGGTGTCATGAGTCTCCTGCTTTTGACTAGGACAATCCCTCATGAAGTGACCAGGCTTGCCACATTTATGGCATAGATCATTTGCAGTAGTGATTTTGCTGGCAGAGGTTTTCTTTTGGAAGCCTCCATGCTTCTTTATGATCTTCTGAATTCTTCTAGTTACATACACCATCTCATCCTCCTCTTCAGTTAACTCAGTTTGAGATGTTCTCAAGGCAATGGACTTCTCCTTCTTTCCTTTCTTCACCGTCGTTCCCTGTTTCTTGTTTAGCTCGTAGTTCTGAAGGTTTCCAATCAGTTCATCCATGGGAAGAGTCATCAGATCCTTAGCTTCTGTTATGGCATCCACCTTGCTTTCCCAAGATTTAGGAATCTCCTTTGCCTTGTAGTTCTTTTCAGTCCTTTTCCTATCTGCCTCATTGTAGTCCTTTCTTGTCTTGACAACAACAGTGGTAAGCTCCCCATCCTTCACCTCTTTTGTAGGAATATATGGTTCATCAAGGATAATGTCCCACAACTCAGAGTCCTCAGCGTTGATGTAGTCGTGCATTCGATTCTTCCACCAGCCATAGTATTGTCCATTAAAACGCGGTGGCCTGGTAGAAGATTGTCCTTCCTCCATATTGGGTGGAGCAACCATTCCTTCAGGATTTTTTCTTTTCTTGGTGTTAACCAAACTGAAAAGTCAAGCTCTGATACCGCTTGTTGGAATATATGCGTCTACTTATGCAGATGGGACCACGTCCTCAACATAGTTACAGTGATAAACAATAAAGAACAAATGTTGAAAGTAAAGATTGACAATCAACTTTATGTGGAAACCTCCTTGCTCAAGGGAGTAAAACCACGACCTGTTCTCAACAGGACTTTTCAAATTGCTTCTACTAATCTTCTCCAAGTAAGAGTAAAAGTCAGTTTACAAAATGAGATTAGCCTGCTAATCTCCACACTAAGTAATACTTCCTATCACTTAGCTGAGCCAGAGCAGATACAACACTGCCCACTATACTAATCCTAACCGATTAATATAGACTTTTTAGAGTAAGAAACTAAGTTACCTTTAACCTAATTCTTACATGATTCACACAAGTTTGAAAGGTTTCTTTCACAAGTGAAACGAATCCTACAATATAAGAACTATTACAAGCAAACAAAAATACAGCTGGTACAGAAAGCAATGGAAGCACTTCTATCAGGTCCCTTGCTGTTTTGAAGCTTGAAAGTATCTCTCTTTGAATGAATAATGTTGTTTGTTTTTTGATATATACCATGAAGAATTATTATCCAACGTACAAACAACCTCGCCGCTTCTGATTGGTGAAGTACTCTGCAGCTTCACCAACTTTCTGACGCGGGCAGGCTTTACAGTTGTTCAGCACTTTGACACTGGATGAGTATTCATACTTTGCAGAGGACCAGGTCCCTGCACTTGTGAGGAGATCATCAAAACATCTAGGAACTTAAACCCTTATCAGTATAGTTCCGAGTTATGCATTGATTCAAAAAGAATAAGGCTTGTGTTTTCTTTAACAGTTTAAAGTTTTTAGATGAAATGATACATCATACTGAATCACGCTATATCATCTCATCGATCTAAAATCTTAAACTGTTAGAGATGACACACTTTTCTTGATTACTTTAATATTCATGATTGATTTTGTGATTGCAGAGTAGGAATTAACCTTCCTACAGTTGAAGTTCGTTTCGAGCATCTAACTATAGAAACAGATTACTATATCGGAGACAGAGCTCTTCCAACGCTACTGAATGCAGCTATTGTTGAATCTGCTCTGATTTGTTTAAGGATTAGGTTGGCTGAAAAAACCAAACTCACAATACTTAAAGATGCTTATGGGATTATCAAACCTTCTAGGTAATTGGTACATTTCCAACATTGACATGTCGTATAAATCTCTGTGTAAAGTGCGTGATCTGTCTTAGATATATACTAATCCTATATAGAGAAATATATATACGGGAAATAAAAATCACTATACCTATTCTGACTTGAATCTTCGTTGCTCCATATGATGACCCTTCTATTAGGGACGCCTTCCTCTGGGAAGACGACCCTTTTGTTGGCTTTGGCTGGAAAATTAGACCATAGCTTAAAGGTTAGTTACTTGAGTGCAAATGTACAATGTCCATAATATTCATTGTAATTTGATTAAACAAGTAACGTTAATTATTATAGCTTACGGGGCAGGTTAGAGGAGAAATCACTTACAATGGCTATGATCTCGAGGAATTTGTACCCCAAAAAACATCAGCATACATTAGACAAAATGACATTCATGTTGGAGAAATGACTGTGAAAGAGACCTTAGATTTCCCTGCTCGATGTCAAGGGGTTGGCTTTCGATATGGTATTTTTCAGTTCTCACAAATCAGTTCATTCTTTTCGTTATTTTTCAGTAAAATTTGATTCTATAATTTAGAACTTCTGGAGGAACTTACTAAGAGGGAAAGGGAAGCTGGAATATTCCCAGAGGCGGAAATAGATCTTTTCATGAAGGTTGTGATCATGTTCTTAGAAACTCATTTGTTCTTTTCCCAAAAATTCTCTCCCAATTTGAATGTCACAACAGAATACTAATTTTTATAGGCGACTGCTGTGGAGGGAGTCGAAAGCAGTCTCATTACCGATTATATGCTCAGGGTGAGTGATTGATTCTCCAAGTGAAATACTATGATGATTCAAGGCACTAAAATTTGACGGTGTAGACGTAACATAACATGGAGGAAAGTTCTTAAAACATGTACAATATTTCACGAATCAATTTGGATTATGCTGATAAAAAATCATGAAATCAAATGACTATTTGATTCTCCTAAAAGTTGTTAAAATCGAGCAGAAGAAATGAAGTGTATTTAAGTTGCAGCTGGATTCGCGCTATCTAATTTAAGAAAACATGTTGCAGATTTTGGGACTTGATGTCTGTCGAGACACGATTGTTGGACATGAAATGATACGAGGCATTTCAGGTGGCCAGAAGAAGCATCTCACCACAGGTTATTTCCATCTTTCTACATTTCGTATTATTACTATAGAACTTTTTCAGATGACAAATTAAAATACTTCCAAAACAAAAATGCAATGAGCTAATGATTTAATTTGAGCTTGATGCAGGGGAGATGATTGTTGGATCGACAAAAACACTATTCATGGACGAGATATCTAATGGACTAGACAGCTCAACGACATTTCAGATAGTAAAATGTTTACAACAGATGGTACATCTCACAGATGCCACCATCTTGATGTCCCTCCTTCAGCCTGCTCCGGAGACATTTGATCTCTTTGACAATATCATTCTCTTATCAGAAGGCGAGATTGTTTATCAATGCCCTCGTGAACATGTCCTCGAGTTCTTTGAAAGCTGTGGTTTTAAATGTCCAGAGAGAAAAGGTGTTGCTGACTTCTTGCAAGAGGTAATCATCCGATAGAAATATCAATATACATTTCTACGCAAACCCCAAGTGTCAATACATATGAAATGTAAACCTTGTATAAATACGTAAGAATTTAACGTTTAACCTGCAAATAGGTCACATCAAGAAAGGACCAAGAGCAATATTGGGAAGATAGAAGCAAGCCATACAAGTACATTTCAGTAACTGAATTTGGAAAAAGATTTAAGCACTTCCACGTGGGCTTATGGATAGAAAATGAACTCTCAATTCCTTATGAAAGATCAAGAAGTCACAAATCAGCTTTAGTGTTCAAAAAGTACACGGTTCCAACACTAGAGCTATTAAAGGCCAACTTCGACAAGGAATGGCTTTTGATCAAGAGAAACTCTTTTGTCTATATTTTCAAGACTGTCCAAATAATCATTGTTGCGATTATTGCATCAACCGTATTCTTGAGGAGTAACATACACATTACAAATGAAGATGATGGTTATATCTACATTGGTGCACTATTATTTGGAATGATCATTAATATGTTCAACGGTTATTCTGAACTTTCACTTACCATACAGAGACTTCCCGTGTTCTACAAGCATAGGGACAACCTCTTCTATCCACATTGGGCATTCACTCTACCAACTATTCTCCTGAAAGTACCAATAATTGTGTTTGAGTCTGTCGTATGGACGGGCACCACATATTATACCATAGGCTTTGCCCCTGAAGCTAGCAGGTAATTCAACAATCATTTCACTCATTTTTCATTTATGTGCTTGAATTTTTAATCTAGGATGCCAATGTATTGTACTAACTTATTGCAATTGCACAGACGACACATAAAGCATGACGAAAGTACACAACAATGAGTTTCTTTCCTCGTGTCTTTAAAGTCGTAGGTAGCTGAATATTGGAATTAATTGTGATGCTTTTCTTTCTTGCTTAGGTTCTTCAAGAAACTATTGTTGATATTCCTGATCCAACAAATGGCTACCGGAATATTTAGGCTCATTGCCGGAGTTTGTAGAAAGATGGTTATTGCACATACTGGTGGATCTCTCACTCTCCTTCTGGTGTTCCTATTGGGTGGTTTTATCCTCCCTAAAGGTTAGTTCAAAAACACGGATGTGGTACATGCAAATGATGGTACGCGTCAAACTAGACAAGTAGAACTAACTCACACATAGGCAAATAAGTTGTTAGATAGCAAATATGAAGGACAAAGTGAAGGAGGCGCCAAATTTGATTCACTGATAGAACATTGGTTACTTGTGACAGGATCCATTCCAAACTGGTGGAGATGGGGCTTTTGGATATCACCTTTTTCCTACGGGTTCAACGCCTTAACTATAAATGAGATGTTTGCTCAAAGGTGGATGAGCAAATATGTATGTTCTAAATACCCTTGTCTGTCACCTGATTTTGCCATATTACTAAACAAAACTATACATGAAGTGAACTTCATTCACCATTAAGTACAAAATTCACAGGCCTCAGACAACACAACGACGTTGGGCGTGCAAGTGATGAAAAACTTTGACGTCTTCCCTGAAAAAGGATGGCTTTGTATAGGCACTGCTGCACTACTGGGGTTCACAATTCTCTTTAATATTCTTTTCACTTTTGCCTTAATGTACCTCAATCGTAAGTTCTTACTTCTTCAAAATGAATAATACTTTTATTTCCCATTCAGTGCAATCTAAGCCTATTACATGCTATGTTCACTATAACAGCTACAGGGAAACCACAAGCTATTATATCCAAAAAGCAAGCAAGAAATGTTGAAGGTGATCAAGAAGAAGGCAAGGAATCCCTAAGACGTTATAACAAATGAACATAACTCAAAAAGGATGAAGAGCTTAATGATGAACAATATCTCTTCTGTGATATAAATATTAATTATAACTATACTATTCTTGGCAGGAGAAAAGAAAATCCGGTGTATGAGTAGTCGGGCCATATCCAAAGGCGTTCACATAAATGATGACGCAAAGAAAGGAATGATTCTTCCGTTTACCCCTCTGGCAATGTCCTTCGACAATTTGAATTATTTTATAGACATAACACCTGTAAGAGGCACATTATTCTCTCATATTGTCCTTAAATACCACAACAAAATATACTTAAGATACACACGGCTCGAGCTGTGTATCATATTAATCAGCCTAAATACATTGATTATACAAAAGAACCAAACTTTGGTTATCAATTTTTTCAGGAAATGAAGGACCATCTAGTGTCTGAGGACAAACTCCAACTACTTCGTGGAGTAACCAGTGCGTTTAGGCCAGGAGTCTTGACTGCTTTAATGGGAGTCAGTGGAGCAGGGAAGACTACACTCATGGACGTTCTAGCAGGACGAAAAACAGGTGGTTATATCGAAGGTGACATAAGAATATCCGGGTTTCCAAAGAAGCAAGAAACCTTTGCTAGAGTTTCAGGTTATTGTGAACAAACTGATATACACTCACCTCAAGTAACTGTCCATGAATCATTAATATTTTCGGCTTTCCTCCGGCTTCCTAAAGAAGTCAGCAATGAGGATGAGATGGTAAGAGCCTAAAATCTGTTTAAATTACAATCATTTTATAATTTAAATACTAAAACAATGTTCTTTCCAGATTTTTGTGGATGAAGTAATGGATTTGGTTGAGCTAGACAATCTCAAGGATGCAATCGTCGGGCTTCCAGGAGTTACTGATTTATCAGCAGAACAGAGAAAGAGATTGACCATAGCAGTTGAGCTTGTTGCCAATCCTTCAATTATATTCATGGACGAACCAACGTCTGGTCTGGATGCAAGGGCAGCAACTATTGTTGTGAGAACCGTTAGAAACACAGTGGATACTGGGAGAACTGTTGTGTGTACAATTCACCAACCAAGTATTGATATTTTTGAAGAATTCGATGAGGTAAACATAAGAACTTGTGAAAGGTGGAGGAAAAAGCCTCTTAGAATTTTAACCACTGTTTCTCTAATATGTTCTTTTATGTTGATATCAGCTACTTCTTATGAAAAAAGGAGGACAACTAATCTACGCTGGGCCATTAGGTCGACATTCTCAGAAAATTATTGAGTATTTTGAGGTACTTAAGCATATAGTGTCCTACATGTATCTGTAAAGAAAGACAAAATACTTATTCAACCACTTAATACAGGCAATTCCGGCAGTTCCTAAAATTAAAGAGAAATGCAATCCAGCCACCTGGATGCTAGATGTGAGTTCAGTCGACTCAGAGATTCGACTAGGAATTGATTTTGCTGAATACTATAACTCATCAGCTTCATATCAGTAAGGCAAAATGAGCACACAGCTGTGTACGCAGTGGGGTCTGGGGAGGGTAGAGTGTACACAGATCTTACCCCTACCTTGTAGAGATAGAGAGACTGATAAAAAGGTGACTAATTTACATCTTTATATTGTTTCTGTGATACAGAGAAACTAGCAGTGATTTAACAACAATCATTGGGGCAATGTACACAGCTGTTCTGTTTGTTGGAATCAACAATTGTTCAACTGTACAGGCAATTGTAGCCGTTGGAAGAACCGTCTTTTATCGAGAAAGAGCAGCTGGAATGTACTAGCATTACCATATGCTATGGCACAGGTAACCTTTATTTATAAACTAGTTCTGAAAACGTGTGTTGCACGTTTATTCCAAAATATTTCATGTAAATTTTGTATTGCGAATGATATATTTTATCCTCTTCAAATCTATTGGTATTTACTAAAAAAAATCCATCATTTTTGTGATAGAAAGTACATATATCTTCCTAATAAAAAGAATACATCCTTAATTATAAAATTGACTAAAAGTGCATAAAGTAAAAATAACTAACTATTGTACAATATTCAAATGAGGATACTAAAATACCACATGCTAGGGGCTAATGTATACAAAGCAACAAACTATTGTAAATTCTCAATAATAATAACGACAAAAGAATAGAAAGTTGTACAATAACATCAAACAAGAATCATAAACACTAAACAAAACAAATAAAAACGGATATGAGAAGAGAGCATAGAGATTTTCTCCTCTTTTTTTTCCAACTGTTTTAAGTGTGTATACTATTATGTCAAATGTCACTATTTATAGGATAGGATTGAGGAACACAAAGAGTTGTCATCAATATGCATTAATCCCTTTGAGATTATGGATGAGTATGAGAGGTGTATTAAAAATCATGATAAATATATAATTAGTGGGAGTTACATATATTCACATAATGGAGAGTTAGTGGAAATAAATTTATGTAACATACTTCACATTAATACAAATATATATATATATATAAGAATATAATATTGGTTTGTATGGTTTTTTTCTTTTTGTGAAGGGCAAACATAACCATTCATATTTTCAATTGGAAGATGAACAAAACAAAAAATTCATGAATTTACTCCAACATGAAATTAATACAAAGAATACATATTCAAGAGACTTTATGGTGGTTGATTCATGTACTAATATGATGATTTATAATTTATATTTAAAATAATTTATAACATTTAAATTTAATGTAGGGGTAAACCGTAATCTAACTTTTGCCTAAAATTCTTCCCACTTTTAGTATGATATGATGATTATCTACTATAACCTTATTGAATTTCACAAATCGATTTCATTTATTTGTATCGCAGGTCATTTCTGAAATACCTTACATTATTATCCAAACTACATACTACACTCTTATAGTGTACACAATGGTTGGATTTGAGTTGACAGCAACTAAATTCTTCTGGTTCTATTTTGTGACCTTCTTCTCCTTTCTATATTTTACGTACTATGGAATGATGATTGTTGCCATCACACCAAACCACCATGTAGCTTCGATCTTTGCTGCAGCTTTCTTCTCACTTTTCAATCTCTTCTCAGGTGTCTTCATCCCCCGACCAGTAAGTTTACTCTTTCACACTAGTTCAAAATATTGTGAACCTAACCACAATACTAATTCTTCTTGTTAACATTTCAGAGAATTCCAAAGTGGTGGATTTGGTATTATTGGATTTGCCCGGTGGCATGGACTGTGAACGGGTGCATTGTCTCACAGTATGGTGATGTCGAAGATACCATAAAAGTTCCAGGAATGTCTATTGACCCTAAGATTAAGGACTACATCATAGACCATTTTGGATATAATCCAAACTTCATGGGACTAGTTGCCACAGTGTTGGTCAGTTTTGCAGTCTTTTATGCATTTGTGTATTCCTACAGCATTAAGACACTGAACTTCCAGAGGAGGTAGATAGATCTTAATAGTTATAGTGGCTTGTAATTTCTATCATAGGCCACCATTATATCATAGTAGAGTATGGTAATTGCTACATATTATGCTAAACTCATAGGATGTAAAGAGTGACCAACAAGGTGTCCACCTCTATAAAGATGTATTGCATTTGAAAGTTCTGTAAATAACTACTTCTGTTGCATATATATATACTAGTTTCCGGGAACGTGCTTATTTCAAACAATAATGTATTCATCTCATATTTTTCACGCAATCAACAAATTTTAAAAGTTCAGAAATTGATATTGTGCAACATAAAAAATTTGTTATAAAGAAATAAGAGATTCTTACCAAACAAGTATAGTTAATCATTGAACTTATCACATATAATTATAGTTATACACTATATCTTGTCCTATATTTATGATTTATATGATGCCACCAAAATTGAGAGAAGGAAAAAATGACACATAATTACAACTAAATATGGTAATACACAGATGAAGATGGAATCAAATAAAATAAGATTTTGAAATCAATAATTAAATACTATCATTTCTTATGATTTATAATATATTGTCCAATGCTTAATTTATAGTTTGCAAGTCCATTTTTTTCCTTCATTCAATTTGAGAGAATGAAAAGATAAGAGTAATAAAATTTAATTTGTAGAAATGAAGAGTCTTGAAATCATGATCTTTTCATTTTTCTTCTTAATGTTTTTCTCATTTTATTGCAGTTAAAAGTTGATTCAATTTTTTACTTTAACACCTTTTCACTTTTAGTATTTAGTATAATATATATGATATTGTTTACTATTTATTTAATTAGATAATTAATTTAGCATAGAGGTAAAATGATGATCCAACTTTACACTTTGAAGCATAATGAAACTTAACATACCTAGTTTGCACAATTCAAACACGATGAAATAAATTTTTTAACATGAGAAGCTACAGAGACCTTAAGAGAAGAGTATCGATAAAAACTTTCTTCACTCATTGGAATTTTAATCTTATTTATTAATGTATCTTGTTTTACTCTTATTTATTAATTATTTGTATCAAATAAACAACAAAGTCAATGTGAGACTTATGACTTTACTTCATAGTAAAACTTTCTGAATACAGTTTTTGAGTCATCATCCTTCACGCAACATATCTAAAAGCATATGAAACACTACTATGAAGAATTCTAATTCATAATTTAATCTCACATCTACTCTATTAAAGTGCAGAATTACAAAAAGGAAAACTC